CCAGAGGTCCCTTCCAACCCCTGTCATTCTGGGATTTTGTGATAATGTCACATATAGGGTTTTGGCCCTAGCATCAGTACCTAAGCTACACCTGGATGTCCTTGCCAAATACACTATTTAACTTGATCCCGAAGTGCAAATTAGCATGTCTTGAGGGATTAGGCTTATGCATAACATGGCAGTATAGGTGAAGTTTATATTAACCAACATTTATAGCACAGCAACATACTTAAGACCATTATAAATCCGCAATCCATAACAGCAAATAATAACGTTCTTATCAAAGAACATCTTTGTTCTTTGTTGAACATAAAGTTCAATTTTTCTCTGAAAAGCTTTTTTAGAGAGCATTTTAGAGAGATGAGTCAGATTGTTTAGTCCAGCTGTCCTTTCACTCCTCCCAGAAATCTTCTCTTTCTAGACAGTAAACTCTAACTTGGAAATGATTCAGACAGACAAGTTGTTCATTGCAATCATTTTCCAAGGAGGAAGGAAAAGAAGAGCCTATTTTAACTAGCTGAATATAACTAGCTTGGAAGCTTCATTCTTCTTATAAACTGGAAATATAACACATAAAGGGAAACCAAGATTTCGTTCTGTATGTAGAAATGAATTTTTCAAAGTATTCTGTTTGTCACAGAGTCACTGACTTGCTCGGTGTTCTTTTCCTTCTAAGAAACTCAATGATAATAGAGTAACAAGTGCCCAATTTGTTACTTGTGCCTCCAGGAAGCAGGGTTCAGTTAAAAATGTTCCATTTTATCCCTCATATTGAAGAGTTAATTTGTTCATTGACGTCTAGAGAAAGATAAATCTACTCTGAAATGTTAAAAATGGGAAGGAAACAATGTCCTGGCGCCATTGCGATCGGTGCCAAAATGTTCCTTGATGCAGTGGGGCCAGGCTTTACCTTACAGATACAATAAAATAATCCAGGATAGACTGAAAGCTTCCAGGAACAAGCCATGCCTTACTTCATTCCATGATTAGAAGCTGCAGTGAAAACACCCTCAGAATTTGTGTTAATCTCCTCAGCTGGATCTGGGTGGACTTTTGCCACTTTCCACTCATGGTCGCAACTGCCAGGGTCTCATTACCAAAGCTTCTTCAGGGAAGACACAGAGCTGGCACGTCTAATTAAAATGAATGAGCAAAGGCTTCAAGCTTGTTGGCAATGGTGGCAGTCTGTTTTTCATAGATGAAGTGACTTTGGGGGAAGGAAAGAAATTATATCTATGTATAAGGATAGAAGCAGATATTTATTTATTGTTTTTGTATGCAGTCATGTTTGAGTTTTGATTTTCCTCACCTTTATGTAACACTCATATCTTCTGTATGTAATTACATTTATAGCAAAAGAAATTTCACAGAGAAGTTTCAGCACACCTGTGACTGCTCTATTAACCACCTTCAAAAGAAGGGTGTACACTAAAACAAAGCACTGAGAAACACTTCCATGACCAGCAGGTCGAGGGAGGTGATCCTGCCCCTCTACTCCGCTCTTGTGAGACCCCACCTGGAGTACTGCGTCCAGCTCTGGGGGCCCCAGTACAGGAGAGGCATGGAGCTGTTGGAGCGAGTCCAGAGGAGGGCCACGAAGCTGGTCAGAGGGATGGAGCACCTCTCCTCTGAGGACAGGCTGAGGGAGTTGGGGTTGTTCAGCCTGCAGAAGAGAAGGCTCCGTGGAGATCTAATTGCAGCCTTCCAGTACCTGAAGGGGCCTACAGGAAAGATGGTGAGGGACTGTTTATCAGGGAGTGTAGTGACAGGACAAGGGGTAATGAGTTTAAGCTGAAAAAGGGTCGATTTAGATTAGATGTTAGGAAGAAATTCTTTCCTGTGAGGGTGGTGAGGCACTGGAACAGGTTGCCCAGAGAGGTTGTGGATGCCCCATCCCTGGAAGTGTTCACGGCCAGGTTGGATGAGGCTTTGGGCAACGTGGTCTAGTGGAGGGTGTCCCTGCCCATGGCAGGGGGGTTGGAACTAGATGATCTTTAAGGTCCCTTCCAACCCAAACCATTCTGTGATTCTATGATTCTATGAATATGCTACCAAGCGAGACAAGCTAAAATTGTATGTGCATAGGGTAGCTAATATCAGCAACTCATGGTCAGTAGTATGGGTCACTATTTTTTCTATTGTTTATTACCTTTTTTCTACCTAACATTCATTTACTTCATCTTTAGAATACAATGGATGAGGTGATCCAGTATAGGAAGAAAATACAAAAACCACTAACAGCAAAATGCGTGTGCATCGAGCACATCTGCCCAGCACAGAGCCAAGCTGAGAGGAGTGATTGCTGCAGGACCAGATGCACAAGCGGGATACAACATGAGTATGAACCCAGCCTAGTCTGCACTCTCACATCGCCTCTTGGCTTGATCTTTTATCTGTGCTGCCCTGACTGGCTCAGACATTTCTGCTATATGTTCATTTGCACGGTAGAAACTTACCCTTCAAAACTTACCATGTTCAAGTAGAAGTAAACATTTCCTCAAGCTGTTTATTCTGAAATACTGAAACCTGAAGAAATGGCTTTAATGTCCTACACAGAGCATCACCGCAAGTATTTGGCATTGAAGGAAGAGGAGGAAGCCTTGGCCACACCAAAGCCAGTGTGGCAAAACTGCAAAGGCCCCAGGATGACGATAATGGTACTTGCTTTAAAAATGTTGTAATATCCAGCTCTGACTTTGCTAGCTAATGCGTGCAGGCAGAAACTCTTTAATAGGCCCTAAATACACAGGAGTCAGCCGCCATGTCGCTGCAGTGTGGTGACTCTGACACTTTTTAGCTTGTGCAGACCTTGACAGAAAATGTTACCATAGGCGTGTGCGTGCATACACACTTGTGTGTAAGTCTAATGCAACAGAGGTTTAAGTAAGAGAATTGTATCTTACAAAATAAGGACAGTATAGGTTATTCACTATCAAGATAATAATAAAGAGAAGAGAATATTTGTTTGGTAGGTTGTTGCTGGAAAAAGGAAAAATGGTCATTGCCTTGTAAAAAGCCTTTTGGCAGTCAGCCAGAGTTGCCACATGTCCATCTCAGCCAGATAGGCATAACCAGCAAAAACCCCACCGAGGGCTCACAATCAGGCAAACTCCACACAACTTTTCAGCCTTGTTTAAAAAAAAAAAAAAAAAAAAGCAGGGAAACTTGTTACTGGTTGTAAGGCGTTGTTCCATGTTGTAACTCTTTATTGTAGCAGGTAGCAACACCATGTTGGGCTGAGCCCAAGGTAATGAATAGCTCAGTTTTTGTTCCGTACGAGTTGTTCTCTTAAAGCTCCATTACACTACACCACCATTGTACCTCACAATTAAGACAAGCCAAGAGAGAAAGATTATTGTGTTGATTGTACAGCTTTGGTGGGAGTGAACCCCAAGGTGAGAGGTGCCCCTCACTCAGCAGAATTAAGAGGTAAACAGACTGAAGGAAAAATAGCAGATAAGGGTACAAATCACAGTGATAAAATCAGAGTTCATTCTGGGCTTCACTGGATTGAACTGAGGGTTTTTATTTCAGATTAAAAGGAGTGCTTTGGTGAGAAGAAGGTGAGCTGGCTTTGTGGGTAGAGTACTGCACTAGGATTTGAGACCTGGGATTTGGGATTTTGTCCCACTCTTACCCAGGTATCTTCTGTTATGCCGGACAACATTAAACCTTTCCTATAACTCAGGTCTCTGTGAGGCTGCTATTTCTGTACTTCTCAGTCATGTTGTGTAACAGAAGTCCACTGCCATGTGGAAGATGTTCAACGCCTGGTGATGAAGGTCAAGTAAGAAGAGACACAAGGACCAGCAAACCGGTTGTGTGGCAATCTCTGAATTTTTATTCAAGTTTCCTTAGGTGAAGTACAGATCCACAGTGACTACACATTAAATATGCCATGCTTTGTTCACCGTGGTCATAAGATCAGTGCTCTTGAAGAGAAGACAGACATGAAAAGACCCATAGCTTGAAGCAACACAAGCATTGCTGGGGTCATCAGATGCAAGGGGCTGAACAGGCATGCCAGCAAAACTGCATTTGGGGCCTGAAAGAGCTGTAACAAACCTGCTCCTGCCATCAGTGAAGCTGCATCCCTCTTTAGTTTCAAAGGATGTCCAGTGTGCAAACTGTTACACACCAAACCCAGCAGCTGACAGCAAGATGCCGCATACAGCAGGCACAGCGAATGAATTCATTATTCCTAACCACCAACAGCCAGCGAAATAAAGCATCTCTTAGCAGCCATGCTTTCAAACATTACCAACAAACAAAATGGGAAAAGGTGGTCACGTTTAGCTGAAAACAGTTGGTGTCCAAATGAGTATTTTGCATCCAGCGTGCACTAAATACTGAGATAAAACTTTCATTGAGCTCAAGAGCATGGTTATGTGAGAAGAAAGGGCAGGCTATTTTCATCTTTGATATCAATATCTGTGTCATGACGATTAACATTGCTCTCCCCGTGCTCTGCCCCTCCTGTTTGCTGCTCAGCTCTCTTCACCTGTTAAATGTATGACTGGTGCAGCTGGCTGAGGGAAGCCATTTTCGTCCTGCATGTCTCCTTCAGAAACAAAAGGTGCAAAATATCCCTCAGCAATGGTTTCTCCCAGTATTTCTTTCATTTATTTCTTTTGTGCTTTCTGTCTTCAGCCTTCCTTAAAAATGTAATTCCTATTTCTGTCACAGCATCGCCCTTCAGCCTGTCCTGGAGGAAGGTAACTTCTGCTGCTAAGTGAACCTAGAAAGAATCAGGTCTGATCAGTGAAGCAAAGAAATGCCCAGTTTTTCCTCTTCCTCCAGTATAACGAGCTTTTTCTCTCTCTCTTACCACAAGGGGACCCCCTTTCTCAGGTTTCATAAGAAACAGATTGCTAGATTGTTTTAAAATATCTTTCCCAACTAAGTAAATGAAAAGGAAGTTTATATACACTGGAATTTATAGCATACATTACCGTTCATTCCAGTGCTTTGCTTTCTTCCAAGAACCTAAATTGTGTACTTCTGTGATCACAAAATTTCCTCGACACATACTAGTGATATAATACTTTTGTTAATTAGTCTTATATCAGATACTATAATTCTGAGCCTGACGTGCATACATAATACTTGTATAGATTTTGTTTTCTTGAAATGCATGACAAATTAGATATTGACAGAAACATAAAGCAGCCCAAAAGTTTTCTTCCAGAAAACAGCACAGAGGCTCTACAACTCAGAGACTTTCAAATGATGCTCTTTGTGTATGGTTTTGTAAAGGTCTTAAATTTAAGAACAAAATTGCTATCCTATACACTTCTGATGCTTTGGGTTTAAATTATAATCATCCACGCTTTGTTCTCCCTTTCAGCAGGTGCTGCGGTAACCTGAGAATATTATTTATCATCATGTATTTGGAAAGAATCAGGGATGGCTATTACTGGTTATACCTATGCAGGCAAACGAGATCGGCTGAAGGAGCAGCAGAGGAGTCCAGCGCGCCCGCCGGCTCTGCATGTTACGTGTTAGCTGGCTCCCCGGTCCCACCTGGCTTTTGCACCTGAGTCCGCCACGGAAGAGCCAGGGAGGGAGGTGAGCCAACCCCTGTGCTGCTCTGCCTCAGGATCCAGGATCAGTCTGGCCCTCTTTTATTGAGATACAGACATTTAATCTGAGAGAGAGATTAAACACTACTAAATTTCCTTCATTTATCTGAGCAAGTGGTTTTGCTTTCCTGTGCCTCTGCATATTGACAAAGAATGGAGAAAACAGACATGCACTTCCTTACCATTTCCAAGGCACCTCGAATCACCCCACAGAGGAGGTTACAGTAGCAAAGCGATGCTCGTTCTGCTGGCAGCTCCTCCACAAAGTCCACTAGTGGGTTTTTGTCCAGGATTAAGGAGAATTCATTTCCTGCGGCACTGCTGCAGCTCACACTAGGGGTGACCCCAAGGTACATCTTGAAAGCAACCTGCAAAAGGATGAAACTCTGCCGCGTCAAGTTGTTGTGTGCGAATCAGAGGGCAAACTTTAGGATGCAGCATCCTGCAGACAGCTTTACGCCAGGAAAATAGGGGGAAGGGTGAGACAGGCTGGAAAACAAATTAGATTTGTCTCTTTTGTGATCAGCTTGAGCCAGAGACGCAAATCTGGAGCAATGTGATACTCCAGGGAGGTACAGCAGAAAGCTGCTTATTCTGTCTTTGATGTTCCTGCATTTACAACCCCATACAAAGTGGTTTTACTGTTACCACTCGTCTGCTTTCAGTCATGTCACACTCCCTTGGGACCATTAGTGTCTGTATTAGGTCCTTCACTATGCTGCCGGCAACTTTGCTAATCACAACTCAGGAACTCCTGCAATTGGCGAGTGTGTGTTTTTACTCTGATCTCCATCTGCAGTCACAAAAACCCAGCAACCCACCAAGAATAAGACTGCCAGGACTGCAAACTTATTTGATTATACAGAGCATCGCTTGCATTCCTTCTGCTACCCATGAATGTTACTGTAAATGTGCAATATCTGCTCTGCTAGTGGAGGGGTGCCTTGTGAGCACGTTTCTCCGGACAGTGACATCACGGCGTTATCTAGACAGCGCTCACGCAGGCAGGCTAGCAGCAGGCTGTCCCTCCTCTGGAAAGCTCTCCCCTCCTACACCACTACAGACTGCTACGACTGAAGATAAAAGTATCTTGATTTTTTACCTCTGTAGTGAGTATCAAACATGGATGGTTTCCAAACAATCCTGAAATTCTTTATGAACCAGAAAACTGCTATAGGTTACAGTTTCATGGCGCTGCTGACAATGGGAGGTGAACGTGTGTTTTCTCTTGTTGCTTTCAGATGCCCCTGCAGCAATGAAAACTTCAGGTATGGTTTGGTGTTTCTCTTCTCCCCAGCTTTTGTTTTGCTAGTTATTGGATATTTCTTGAACAGCAAGACCTGGAAACTCTTTACAGGCTGCTGGGTGAATCCCAGAAAAATATTCCCCAGAGGGAATATCTGCCATTTCTTTTACGTCTTTGGACAAATCACTTTAAATGCTCTGGTAGCCCCAGTGATGTGGCTTTCTGTGGCTTTGCTCAACGGGACTTTTTATGAATGTGCCATGAGTGGCTTGAAAAATCCTGCCTACTTACAGGCAGTTTGCCGCAACAAATCTGCAAAGTGCTTTGAAGAGCTACACAAGGTAGCCTGTGACAAAAGCTCCTTGCCCTTTTCGGAGAGTGACGAACTGAAACGAACTCTTCAAGCACAGTCCCAGGTAAGAAAAATAAATAAAGAGCATTATACAGTTTGCACGGCTGCTGTGATTTACCTGTGACAAATGCTAAGATGATAAAACCACTGGTTTCACATAAAGTTTTGGCATGATGCTGCCTTATAAAATACAAACAAGCCATCTTTTAGTTCAGTTTGAGCTTCCTGGGGGGTCCCACTAATGGCAGGATCAATAAGACGGGATAACTTAAAGCTTTCTTCCTGGATGAAGATTGCTCTAAAGAGTAAAAAACTACCGGATTGTTTAGGATGCTGAATTAACAAGTGTCATCCCATTAAAGAGGTCTGTCTTACTAAAAAAATCCATATGACACTCTCCTAGTTTATACCATCGTCATACTGTAATGAAATCTTAGGTCACTAACGGTAGAAAAATAGTGGAAAACAAGCTTTGTGACAGATTTGTGACTGCTTACATAATATGTTTCTGTTTGCGTTCCTCATGTTCATGATGTCAGATGAGAGCATGTTTTTGTCCTGCTTGGAAGGAAGAAACACTAAAATAAAACAAGCAGAACATGCAAAGCTGAGATTGTATTAGATTTTACAATATTTGTGTCATACAGTTCTGCTTACTGCCTTGTAACATAAATAAATTCAGAGACAAAAAATCAAAACAAAGGGGGGGGGGAGTTAAGAAAAAAAGGAAAGATGGAAAGATAACTGTAAGCAGGAAGGAGAAACGCTCTGTGGAGCCAGCAAGTTTTTGTCAGACAATTGTATCCATATGGAACCATTTCCGCCTCAAGAGCCGGGCTTACTTTCAAGTCCTCATGCAAATAGGAGTGGAATGCAGACAAATCCTGCACTACAGACAAAGCAATTTATTTGAGAATTTTAGAAGGAAATAACAAATAGTGCTTAAGACTCTAAGTTGTATGTATAGGGAATGGTGAAAGACCAGTGACTCAGCTTATAGCATGAGAATACAGGGGTTCATTCTCCAAGCTGCGAGAAAGTGAAAAGCTGCTAAAAAGAGCAGTTTCTCAAATACCCATAGAAATCATCAGTCAGTACAAAGTGACTGGAAAAATAAAAGAAAGTGAAGCTATTCTTCCATACCAGTCCCTACGAGTAATTGTTTGTCAAGCTTCTCTGTTTCGCTTATTTCCCCAAGGAAACTTGTTATATTCCCTCAGCTAAATATAGATTTTTATTGGCGGTGATTTTTTTACCATCAGTGCAAGAGTTCACATGAGAAAGGTCGCAGCTCTCCATATCATCATTGTTAAAGCATGGGAAATCAGCTCCAGTTCATATGGGTCTCTGAAACCTAGATTTGTTCCACACTGGAATTTGTGTTTCACTGTTTGAAAACAATTTTTTAATTTTTTTTTTTTTGCAAATGTTACACATTGCAGTAGAGTAGGTGGGTAAAACTGTTGGCTAGGCCAGTGGCACTGGGCCTGAAAAAATTGTATTCACACCTCTGCTCTCCTTAAAGCAGAACATCCCACGATAACAAATTTCAAGCACATTTTTCCACCCTCTGCCCTGGAAGCAGCTCTTTCCTTTAATATGTTCCTAACAGAATTTTGTCAAACTCTGACGTTGCTACAAAAAAAAGTTGAATGATGCTGGAAAAGCATATTTCAGCAAAAACAAAGTTCTCTGAAAATACAGCAACTATTTCTAATCAGTGTGTAGATTAATTGGGCTCTATTCCAGTGCCAACACCGACCTGCCAATGCACACGCCATTTCTCCTTTCTCATGCCCTCTCCTCCCAGCATTCTTGCAGGATTGGGCAAGAAGATAATTTTAAACCAGTTTTGGCATAAAAATGATTTTCCACTACAAAGGGCTGATTCATCAAAGTCAAAAACAGTTCACAAGAATAGCTTAGATTTCAGTGAACCACCTGGTACAACAATTTGGGAGAAGCTTTTTAAATTTAAGACTACCTTTTATATTCTTGTTAGCTAATTAATGCTACGACAGTTCTAGTTGTTTGTTTTTTTTAAAATTGAAGTCTGAAAAAATGACATCTAAAAATGGTCACAGTTTAAAAGGTTGATCTAGGACAACAGTTACTTACTCTTTTTGCTTTTGCAGTTTGTCACAATTCAGAATTCTGTCTTAATCCTAATTTTTGCTGGGTAATTTTATTTAATGCTTTCAGGAGATGGACAACCATTTACTATCTAGTGATTGCGATATTTTATTCTCCCTGTACACTTTTCCCTTTGCGTGACAGAATTCAGTGAGCAATTCTAATACACTACGTGCCAGATAGTTACAGTTTTGCAATAAACGCTCATCAATATCCTCTCTAAATTACCCAGACACTACTCCTGCTCTCAGGTCTGCTCGGTTTTCTGTATAGCACTATTCAGCCATGACATGATTTGATTGATCATTTAGACCTCTCTTAGATTTTTCTTCATACGTGGTCTTGTAGTTGAGTCTGATTCGAGATCGTCTGTCCCTGCACCTGAATTGCGGTTGTGCCGGACATGTCTCTTCAGCTGTTGTTACCCCAGTTCCTTTTGTTATAAAACAGAAGGGGGAGGCAGCCAGACTCTAGTACAAGACAACTTTTCTTGAGGATTTTACCTTCCACTGTAAAAATCAACCAACTTTTGCATTCCTGAGAAAGAGACATCAAAATGAGCACTACTGAGAAGCCTCAGTCCTGAGGTCTTCTGCTTCCCCTTGGTCCCCGTATGGACGCCCCATTAACACTAATGCCAGGCACTGAATGCAAACTGGGATGAGACGCCCGCAGTAGGGTCCCAAGAGGAGTGGCAGGCCCTCTGTACAAACAGTGGTTGCTCTGTCGGACGCTCTTGATTTAAGTAGCATTTTCACTTGGCCCTTCCTAACCTGAAACTAATTTCTTTTGTTTTCCCAGATTTTAGGCTGGTGCGTGATAGTTACCACGGCTCTTCTCTCCCTGCTAACCACTTGCTGTGCCAGCTGCCAGTCAAAAGTCAGCCACCTTCAGCTGATGTTCTGGAGGGTGTACACGGAGAAGGAGAAGGAGCAACTGGAGCAGATTTTCCAGCTGTACGCCAGCAAGCTGAGCGAGCGAAATCTGAAGTGTTTTTTTGAGAACAAGGAACCAGAAGCAATTCCCCTGCCAGCTTTTCAGGCATGGGAAGATGCTTCCCAGCTCTACTCTTTCAGCAGTAGCAAACAGCATTATAGCACAATTCACAAACTAGTTGAAGAAGGCCAGAAAGAAATCAGTGAGGAAAGAGAGACAATGCTGGACTTTGTAGACAGAAGGGAAATACCCTAGATCAAATATATTTTCAGCTTTTTTATATCTTGCTAATATAGCATACTTCTAGCTGGTTCCATCTCTATATTTTTTTCACAATGGCCTCTTTCTTCTTCATGTTCCCTCCTAGTTACAAATTTGCTCCAGAAGGATGGAATGAAATTATTTTCCTAAGTCAGTGAAAAGCCTGCAGTCCTCCATGGCACTTGAGGGTTCATGCTCGCTGGCTCTGGATCAAGAGCTGACAGCAAAAAGTGATGAATAAAACCCTCTACAAGAGGGTTTTAACAATATCTTATATAAAAGGCACTAAAGTATGATCATCCTATGTATATCAAGAGACGATCATAAAGTAACACCATCTAAAAGATGGGAATATAATAACAGAAGATGTGTGTGGCTTTCTGACAGCCCACAGAAAGGAAAGGTTTTGCTTCCAGCTCATTTCCAGGCCGTTTGCAGGT